GGCAGAATACGTATAGGGAGAAGGTGCCAGATAAGCGTGGACAGGACAGGTACCAGACACCCTCGTAAACTACCTGACTACTTAACTCCCATCATCCCCCTCTACCCCTCCCTCCCTCCCCGACCACCCGTACGGGCCTAAACAACCTCCAGACCAACACTTGTAATAATCACTTGATTAATGTACACCCGGCCTCCCCCCGCTGGAGAGTTTCGAGACGATCCTAATGATAAAGCTGCTCTATCGTGCTATGTATACCGAATATGTATCTCTCTCCTGCTTTGAAGAGAGAAGCGAGTACTGACCTGAATTAATAACAAAAAAAATAGTCAACGTAAAAGTGATTTATATAGTATGGACCTGCGGACCAAATGTAATTCTTTCAGCGTGCAAGAAAGGCATATCATCTTCACGGACCTCTTGTGGAGTAAGCCGAGAGCACTCGGCCCCGGGGCAGAGGTGGAGTACATCCAGGAGTGAATACCCTCCAGCTCCTCGGTGTATATACTCACTGAAACTCTACTTTAGTCCTAGACAATGTTGAGGACTAAAGTATATACTTGTTGGCTGGACAGTTAAGTTATTTGGGCGCCTTAATAACCTTCTATAGGCTTTGACTGGCCTTAATAACCCCTCCAGATTTTGATTGGTATTAATAACCCTCCAAATGCTGATAGATCTTGATAACCGTGCAGAAGTTGATCGGGTTTAATAACCTTGAAGATGTTAATGGGTCAATATAACTCTTCAGATTTATATAGCCTTTAAAACCTACACCAAACCTTAAATTAGAATTTATATAAATAAACTAGGAGATGGTTTAATTATTCTTACGACTCAACAATATACACAACTGAGTACAAAAGTGGTTTAAGTAAGCTTAATTACGAGTCAAGAACATAACGTCTTCACCCTGACAATGTTAAATCTTCTTAATCGTAAATTTCGCATTCTTGAGTTTAAATCATTTCTCACTGGTGGCCGAACTTGTCACACGTATCTTGGTTGGTTTAATAAATGCTTTATACGGTTCTCGACTCCTTCCCTTGAGCACACACACAGTCTGATCGCGCTCGTCTCAGCTCGTCTCAGCTATGCCCAGCCTCCGCTCGTCCATAGACTGTTCTCCGAGCAGTAGTCGACCACAGGTATTCTTCATTTTTCCGTAGCAGTCTCTATCAAACTACCATCAACACTTACAAACTACCACCAACGCCCCCCCCCCCAAGCTACCGCCAAACGCTCCCCCCAAACTCCGACAAAACGCTTGGCTCCTCGACGCCCGGGCCGCCGACAGTGTATCTCTGGTGTGACAGGCAAAGGCCGACAGGGGCCAGACGGGGACAAAGTGAGAAGGACGGAGAAAAATACATATTTGTGTAGCGTCCCCGGAATCTCCCCCTTGAGAGGAGGATATATGGCAGCCAGCCGCCGGACTGCCTCGTGAGAGAGAGAGAGAGAGAGAGAGAGAGAGAGAGAGAGAGAGAGAGAGAGAGAGAGAGAGAGAGAGAGAGAGAGAGAGAGAGAGAGAGAGAGAGAGAGAGAGAGAGAGAGAGAGAGAGAGAGAGAGAGAGAGAGAGAGAGAGAGAGAGAGAGAGAGAGAGAGAGAGACTCTACCTTCCACCCTAAATAGTACGCTTGCTGCTGTAAAAGTTACATTAGATAGCGTTTGTTTCCCGCTGAGCAGGTCGATTCTATATGATATCTTGTCAGATGGACTGAGTGAGGCTGTGCACCATCTGTGTGAGGCTGTGCACCATCTGGGGTGAGGCTGTGCACCATCTGGAGTGAGGTACAGCCTCGTCCCATAGTTTGTTTACTCCTGGCTCGCCTCTCCTCCTCGCCCCGCTCCCCTGGGAAGAGGGTCGTCGAAGTCAAGGTTGGAGACAGGCCAGGTGAACGAACACTGGCCAGCTCACTCGTCTGATAATGCTTCGTGACGTCACACAGGTTCACTAGCCCCAACCCACAGCCCGTCCTCATAAGCCAGCCCGTCCTCCAGCCCGTCCTCATAAACCAGCCCGTCCTCATAAACCAGCCCGTTCTCATAAGCCAGCCCGTCCTCATAAACAAAGGCCAAAGTCCATTCCATGCACCCGCCAAACCCCCTGTTTATGAATGAAAAACGGTTTACACAAGACTCACATCCAATGACCCCACCACCAACAGCACTAGTTACTGTTACTGCAGTTGGTATCGTTAATGAGGAGAGGAGGATAGAAGAACAAATCAGTGAATCTGTACGCTGGTACAATGTGGTTGCAGCTGGCAATCCCAATCAATATGGATGAAGAGGAGGTGGCCGCGGGAGAGAATCGGTAATAGCAAGAATCCATCTTGGATACAAATATCCATGACGATTCGGAATGGAAACAACAGTTGAGCAGCGGAGTTGCAGAATCTGCGGTGAGAGTGACGGACACCGCCTTGACCACTATCTACGTGAATGTGAACACCTGAGAGACATAAGAAATATGTGTAGAATAATAAACCCCACATTGAGTTAGGATAACACAATTTGTTAAATGTTGATACTGTTCTTAACAGATTCCCTCATTTTCCACCCGCAAGATAACGTAAGATATTAAGGGTCGAGAGATGTTAATCTTTTTGTTTGAGGAGCTGTTCAGTTGAGACAGTTAAGCAAGTCCCAGCTGTGTCTGGGTACAAGTGACAGGATGAACAACCCAGCGGGTTTTCTTCCTATTGGGGAGTGTTGTACATGCTGCTATGGCGGTGTGTCCACTCACAGGATGAGTGACGCTTCGCATTAAACTCGCCCCTCGGGGCAAAATTAAAATAAAAACAAAAACAAATATACTATGCACAATAAAATTTAACTGTTCAACCTAACTGTTATAGCACAATAACAGAACGCGTTTCTGTCTGTATAACAGATCATCACTCAATAACTTCATTATTAATTGTTCTCGTAATTGTTCACTCTTAACAACCTTCATCATTCTTTATACAGAAAACTAGTCGCGTTTAAAACAATAACTTATTTTTTTTATTTTACAATTGTCTAAAATGTAATGAATTAGATTTAATTGCGAAAGTTATTTTTCTGATCGTTTGCAGAGTTTGAACAAGTTGTTTTGGTGTGTGTTGTGGCCTGTGTGTGTGTGTGTGTGTGTGTGTGTGTGTGTGTGTGTGTGTGTGTGTGTGTGTGTGTGTGTGTGGCCTGTGTGTGTGTGTGTGTGTGTGTGTGTGTGTGTGTTGTGGCCTGTGTGTGTGTGTGTGTGTGTGTGTGTATTTACCTACTTATATTCACCTAGTTGTGCTTGCGGGGGATGAGCTCTGCTCTTTCGGCCCGCCTCTCAACTGTTAATCAACTGTTACTAACTACTAACAATTTTTTTTCACACACACACACACACCACGAAGCAACCCGTAGCAGCTGTCTAACTCCCAGGTACCTATTTACTGCTAGGTAACAGGATCATCAGGGTGAAGGAAACTCTGCCCATTTGTTTTCCGCCGGCTGCCGTGATCGAACCCTGGTCCCTAGGTACACGAGTCTAGAGCACTGTCCACTCAGCCAGTCAGCCCCCAAATACACACTGTTTGTGTTGTGTGTACTCACCTAGTTGTGTTTGCGGGGGTTGAGCTCTGGCTCTTTGGTCCCGCCTCTCAACTGTCAATCAACTGGTGTATAGATTCCTGAGCCTACTGGGCTCTATCATATCTACATTTGAAACTGTGTATGGAGTCAGCCTCCACCACATCACTGCCTAATGCATTCCATCTGTAACTACTCTGACACTGAAAAAGTTCTTTCTAACGTCCCTGTGGCTCATGTGGGTACTCAGTCTCCACCTGTGTCCTCTTGTTCACGTACCACCCGTGTTAAACAGTTTATCCTTATCAACCCTGTCAATTCCTCTGAGAATTTTGTAGGTGGTGATCATGTGTACCCTTACTCTTCTCTCTTCCAGTGTCGTGCATTTCACGCAGCCTTTCCTCGTAACTCATGCCTCTTAGTTCTGAGACTAGCCTAGAGGGATACCTCTGAACTTTTTCAAGCTTTGCCGTGTGCTCGACAAGGTACGGGCTCTATCCTGGGACCGCATACTCATGGATTGGTCTTACATATGTGGTGTACAAGGTTCTGTATGATTCCTTATACAGGTTCCTGAAGGCTGTTCTGATGTTAGGCAGTCTCGCATATGCCGCAGATGTAATCTTCTTTATGTGGGCTTCAGGAGACAGGTTTGGTGTGATATGAACTCCTAGATCTTTCTCTCTGTCCGTTTCATGAAGTACTTCATCTCCTATTCGGTATCCTGTGTCTGGCCTCCTGTTTCCACTGACTAGTTTTATTACCTTACATTTACTCGGGTTGAACTTTAGTAGCCATTTGTTGGACCATTCATTCAGTGTGTATGTATGTATCTGTGCATGTGTATCTGGGCGTGTGTATGTATGTGCGCGCGCGCGTGTATAGGGTATCTTCTCTCCCCCCCCCCCCCCCCCCCAACACATCTAGCGATTTACAACTCCAACAGCCCGGCTTGATCACCCCCCTCTGCCCCCCTGTGTTCCCTTACAGTACCGCTGTGGTGAGCCGGGCCGCCGTCGGCCCCTCTGAAGCCTCGCTCAAATAAATCTCGCGGGAAAATGTGTGTGTTGGGTGGAGGCCGCTGGCACCCCAGCCGTGTTATTCCTGCACTTGAGCGCTCGTTCCACCTATACGCACTCTGGTTACGCACCCACAAGCGCGACAGCCAAACACCGTGTAGCGGAGGCGGGGCTTAAGCCACCCATCCGGCCAATCGCAGCCCACCTTGCTGTATACCCACCTCGCCATTGGGGGACTGGGAGAATCTTAGTTAATTTTAGCCGTAAATCGGGCGCGGTGATTGGCGGAGCGTAATCAGGAGGCGGGGCCAGGCGGGCATAATTGTCAGGTGTTGCCGCCCACTCCGCTACGCTGTGTGACAGGCGTATCTGAGGACTCACTGATGCATACTTGCGAGGTGGCTCTCCTGCGGACCGTGCCCTCCTCAGTTCAGTGCCTCTGGGCCCCCTAAGTGCCACGGGTACACGTGCCCGAGCTGCCCATCATCCAGGTGGGTTTTTTTTTTTGTGACCGTGTCGTTTGAACTGGCGGAGAGAGAGATAAGCGCAATCCGTCAGTGCCGCCGCCCAGCGAGCCATTTTGTGCCCTCCACCGCGACCCGCACCGCCGAAAAATATCGATATATCTGATCGGGATCTTACCGGAGTGTCGTGCTACGATGGGACCCATCAAGAGCGAGAAGTCTATGGATATGCTGCCCACTCTACCCTACCCTGACCCCGCTCTTGCAGCCATGGGTAAGTACCCAACTACCCTTCAGTCTTTCACTCCGGAGCGGCACGCCGCCGTCGGAGCCATGCCGCTAGCGGCGGCACCGCAGGCGCTGCTAATACGCTGCGAGTGTTCCCCTTCCCGCTAACCACTGCGCTCTTTCCCCTCGCCGACGCAACCCGCCTCCGGCGGACTCTAAGTTGCACAGTAATATTGAAAAGCTGAGAAATCTGTGTGATGGAGTTGACTTAGTGAACAGTGAAGGTTCATAGAGTTCCTTGACGGTGCCGCGGAACGTCTTAAAACACCCGCAACACACAACTGAACGTCTTAAAATATCTGCAACACAACTAAACGTCTTAAAACACCCGCAACACACAACTGAACGTCTTAAAACACCCGCAACACACAACTGAACGTCTTAAACACCCGCAACACACAACTGAACGTCTTAAAACACCCGCAACACACAACTGAACGTCTTAAAACACCCGCAACACACAACTGAACGCCTTAAAACACCCGCAACACACAACTGAACGTCTTAAAATATCTGCAACACACAACTGAACGTCTTAAAACACCCGCAACACACAACTGAACGTCTTAAAGCACCCGCAACACACTGTAGAAATCTCAAAACATCCGCAACACACAATTGAACGTCTTAAAACACCCGCCACACGTCGTAGAAATCGTAAAACATCCGCAACACGTCGTAGAAATCGTAAAACATCCGCAACACACAATAGAACGTCTTAAAACATCTGCAACACACAATTGAACGTCTTAAAACATCCGCAACACACAATAGAACGTCTTAAAACATCCGCAACACACAATAGAACGTCTTAAAACATCCGCAACACACAATAGAAAGTCTTAAAATACCCACAACAAACGTTGCTCAAACCTATCACGTATGTTTAAAATGAAAGACATATGACAACGTGTTTTAAAGCAGGGTTTTCTGCCCTCTGGGGCCTGCGGTTCATCCCCTGAAGACTGCGGTCGATACCTAGGGCCTGCGGTCCACTCCTGAGGCCTTACGGTCCACACCTGGGTCCTGCGGTCCACACCTGGGTCCTACGGTCCACACCTGGGGCCTTACGGTCCACACCTGGGGCCTTACGGTCCACTCCTGAGGCCTTACGGTCCACACCTGGGTCCTGCGGTCCACACCTGGGGCCTACGGTCCACACCTGGGGCCTTACGGTCCACACCTGGGGCCTACGGTCCAGGTACTCTCCTTCGTCAAATAATAATATAAAAAAATTATAATTTCTTTACAAAACACTGATTTATTGAGAAATAAAATTTCCATCAGAACGCACGTAATTCCTTTAGACATATCTAAACATGAAATAGATATTGATATATGACCTGGAAGAGAAATAGATAAAGATAATAGATACTTGGGGGTTATCATACATGTAAAGTTGATTATATATGTAATGTTTATCATACACATACAATGTATTAATGAGCCCCACACGGCGGCACAGGTACACTGTGCGGTACACAGGTACATTATGCGGTACACAGGTACACTATGCGGTACACAGGTACACTGTACGGTACACTGTGCAGTACACAGGTACACTGTATGGTACATGGGTATATGCTGCATGATACACAGGTGGTACACGTAGAGGTACACTTCGTACGTGGTACACAGGTACACAGTTTGCTCAACACACTGTGAGAGGTGGCGGGGAATCCAGTACTCCACCTGTTCAACAAATCATTCCTAAGTGGAGTGTTGCCCACACAATGGAAACACGCAATAATTGTTCCCATACCGAAGCCTAATGACCCCTGGTAATTACAGACTTATCAGCCTCGTGTCATGCAAGATGCTTGCAATAATCATCCTAAACCGACTGTTGCACAAAATAGGCAGGCTAGGGGAGGGGGTCAATGGATTTGTTTAAGGACGGTGCACAGCAAATTGTATAGTTGATTACATGGCTAATAACACGGCTAGGTACTCTGTATTTGTTGACATCAAAGGAGCCTTCGACAAAGCACAAGGGATTGCGATCCTGGACGAGCTTGCATGCATGGGTGTCAAGGGGAGACTCATGAAATGGGTTGAAGACTACCTCACAGGGAGGAAAGTCAAGGTCTGCTTCAATGAAGCAGTCTCAAAAACAATGAATATATATAACTCGGGAAAGGGAGGGATCTTAAGCCTCACACTATTTAACATACTTATGAACGCCATTTCAAATATTGAATTTCCTGAAGGAACACAACAAGTGGGATATGCAGATGATGTTCTAATACAAGCTTCCACCTTGGGAAAACCTTATAATCCATTGAACTATTTGGAAGTTAGTGTTGAACTCTGCTTCTCTCTCTCTCTCTCTCTCTCTCTCTCTCTCTCTCTCTCTCTCTCTCTCTCTCTCTCTCTCTCTCTCTCTCTCTCTCTCTCTCTCTCCACAAACAAGACAAAAGCACTCATCACAAGCGGGGAGAAAGTGAAGACTTAAAAATTAATGGTGAAACACTTGAATAGGTTGACCACTTTCGGTACCTTGGCGTCACTGTCGGCTCTGACAAGGGGAAGAAAAAGGAGCTCAACCAACTCATAGGAACATGTAAAGGTAGTCTCAGGGCCGTGAAAGCTATAACATGGTGTGGTCTTAATACCCATAAGACTGTGCGTCATAGCCTATGCTGCACCAGTCTTGTTCACTTACTCCCAAAGCTATATCAAAAGACTTGAAAGCATACAAAATTTAGTCAACCCAATCATTCATGGGGTCCCAAATTTTACGAGAAGAGCTGTCTCTCCCCGGTATTAAACACAGACTTAAGGATTTGAATGCTAAGCTTGCAATTAAGATATCCAGAAACCCCCACTACAGTGATATTCCCAAGAAAAAACTGAGTTCTGTGTTACAGGAAAAAACAGGAAAAGCAAACAATGGCTACAATCAGTCTGCTACCTGGAAGAACTTCACCTGCTTGAGCAAGCCCGTGAGCTCCTGTCTGTTGAGAGGTTACCTGGGAGGATGACTCATGTAGGATTATCATGTACAATATGACAACGAAAAATTCCAAAATCCCCCAAAAATCCAAAAATACCACAAGAAATGAGTTATAAGTATCTTAAGAAAATTTATAAACAAGCTGGGAATAAATTAGACCAAATCTACACTGAAGGTTCATCTAATCTAACCAATGGCAGGGCTGGTACAGCATACACCGTAATTAAGAATAATGCCTTTCAAAACGGAAGCGAAGAAAAATCACGAATTGAGAACTATGCCTCTTCAACGCAAGCAGAGCTAACTGCCATTGTTATGGTGTTATGATTCCTTGGAACACTGGCGGTGCAGTGATCTACACTGATTCACAAGCAGCGCTACAAAGCCTTAGGAGAAATCCTTGGTGACTCGGATACTTTTGATATCGTTCGCCTTATGCGTTTTTGTTCTCGTATTGGCATCCTTGGTGATATTTAGCGCCCTCTGATTATTTTGCGTATTTGATGGTGCTACATAGCCTTCCCGGTTTGGTGCCTTCTTTTGATAATTACTTACTTAGGAGAAATCAGGCAGAAAACCCAAGCAATTGTCGCTGACAACAAGAGAGCTGTTAGACTACTAACCAATCTGGGAAGAGTTAGCAAGGTCCTATGGATTCCCTCCCATGTTAGGACCTGTGGAAATGAACGAGCAGATGTGCTGGCTGCTGAAGGCGCTGAAGGAAACCATATTGAATACTTCATACCCAAGACTTCTACAAATCCTGTGTGATGGGGATTTTTTAGCATCACCTAGTTAGCTTTTTTGACACACTGTACTCCACTTCATATAGTCTAGGGTAGCTGCACTAATGCAGATGTGCCTCATATCTTAATAAAAAAAAAATCAGGCAACATCACCGTGACAAGGTAACTGAGGAAAGGAGGATAGAAGAACAAACCAGTGAATCTGTACCATGGTACAATGTGGTTGCAGCTGGCAATCCCAATCATTATGGACGAAGAGGAGGTGGCCGCGGGAGAGAATCGGTAATAGCGAGAATCCATCTTGGATACAAATATCCATGGCGATTCGGAGTAGAAACAACAGTTGATCAGCGAAGTTGCGGAATCTGTGGTGAGAATGACGGACACCGCCTTGAACACTACCTGAGAGTGTGGACATCTTAGAGTCATTCTAAGTATGTGTAGAAAAATCAGCCCCACATTGTTTGAGTTAGGAAAAAACAATTTGTCAAATGTAAATACTGTTCTTAAAAGATTCCCCCACTTTGCATCCTCAAGATAACGTAAGTTTAGGGCTTGTTAAATGGTAATCTTCGTGTTTGAGGAGCTGTTCACTTGAGACAGTTAAGCAAGTCCTAGCTGTGTCTGGGTACAAGTGACAGGATGAACAACCCAGCGGGTTTTCTTCCTATTGGGGAGTGTTGTACATGCTGCTATGGCGGTGTGTCCACTCACAGGACGAGTGACGCTGCCCCAATACTGTCACTATGGCGGTGTGTCCACTCACAGGATGAGTGACGCTGCCCAATACTGTCACTATGCCGGTGTGTCCACTCACAGGATGAGTGACGCTGCCCAATACTGTCACTATGGCGGTGTGTCCACTCACAGGATGAGTGACGCTGATCAATACTGTCACTATGGCGGTGTGTCCACTCACAGGATGAGTGACTCTGCCCAGTACTGTCACTATGGCGGTGTGTTCACTCACAGGATGAGTGACGCTACCCAATACTATCACTATGGCGGTGTGTCCACTCACAGGATGAGTGACGCTGCCCAATACTGTCACTATGGCGGTGTGTCCACTCACAGGATGAGTGACTCTGCCCAGTACTGTCACTATGGCGGTGTGTTCACTCACAGGATGAGTGACGCTACCCAATACTGTCACTATGGCGGTGTGTCCACTCACAGGATGAGTGACGCTGCCCAATACTGTCACTATGGCGGTGTGTCCACTCACAGGATGAGTGACGCTACCCAATACTATCACTATGGCGGTGTGTCCACTCACAGGATGAG